GTGCCCACTCTCCCTTCTCTTCTACCTGTGGTTCCTGCCCCGAACTTGATAGCAGGAAACAGTCCAGGGTCCAGTGAATGAGGCCAGATTTCTGGGGGAAAAAAGAGCAGAAGCAAGATAATGGCAAGTGAGATTTACCTTTGAGTGAGCAACATCCCCCATGAAAACAGGATGCAAATCCTCCAGGTGCACTCAAGTGCTCCCACACTCCTGGCAGGTGGAACCCTTCAGAGAAGACAAGGAAGGCCACTGGGTGTGGCTGTCCCTAGGTCGTCTCCAGGACCTATAAAGCCCCATAGCAGCATCCAAGGCCCTGGGATCCCTTCACATCTTGCTTTTTCTCTGTGACTTTACCATTTCTAGAAAGAGGAGGCTGGCAGTCAGGTAGAAAATGACTTAATTCAATGATGCATGCCTTTGATACCCAGGAAGAGGATCAAAGGGGCTTCAGAAAAATGTTCATGACCTGGCGGGTGACGGGGTGCATGCTGGTAAATCCAGTGACTCTGAGGCTGAGGCAGGATGATCCAAATTCAAGGCCAGCCTAGGCAACTTGGCAAGACGTTACCGCAGAATAAAATAAAAAAGGGCTGGGGAGCATGCCTGATGCCCTGGGTTCTACCCCCAGTACCAAAAAACTAAATAAATAGATAAAAAATTTTTTWAAAAAATTGTTATGAACATCAAAGGGTTCACCTTTGGGGCTGGCTCGAATTTTCTCCCCGAGTTCTGACCCCTTCCTAGGGCCTTCCACTGTGAGCCTGGCCAGAGCTTCTCACTGCAGGCCCCTTTGCTAACCACTCCAGGCTCTCACTTGCTCCCAAGACTTGTCTCTCTCTTCTCTTTTTCTAGAGGACGTGCTTTTAATGTGATCGCCCTCCTACCACCCAACCAGAGCCCACGGCACTGCTCACACACCAACCCCGCGGGAAGCACTGCTTGAATCCCAAAGGGACTCCTACTTCAGTGGCTCAAACTCTATGAGACCTAATAGTCTGTTGCACTTGGAGATTCTTTTTTTTTTTTTTTATTGTTGGTAGTTCAAAACATTACACAGTTCTTAATATATCATATTTCACAGTTTGATTCAAGTGGGTTATGAACTCCCAACACTTGGAGATTCTTATGGAACAGGTTCAGAAGCCTGTAGTCTTCATGCGCTCCCAGGGGACTGTGAAGGAGGCAAACCTTGAACTTGACAGGGATGACTTCACACAGGGCTGGAAAATATTGGGGGCTGGGGAATAAGAAGGCAAGAGAACAGAGGAGATGTCTCACAGCAACTTGCTGTTCCTTAATCATCCCTTCCACCATGTGGAACGAAGATCCGCTCCTGGGGAGGAATAGAAGAAAGAGGTACGGCGCTCACCCCTGGAGCACTTCAGCTGTGGACCCTCCTCGCTGCCCCACCTTGGCCCTGCCTCTGCTTATCCTCAAGTCCACTGTTATCTAAGAGGTGGTCAGCCTGGACTGCCTGGCCAGAATCCTTCCAGGGCATCCTGTGCTGTGGTTTGCCTGCTCCTCCTGGTGGACTCCCACAGTTCTTTCTAACCTGGCCTCATGGATTCCCAAGGCCTGCCTGCATCTCTAGGCACCTGTGGGGCGTGGAGGTCAGGCAGGCTCACAGGCTCCTTGCCTAGGGAGCTGGATTCCACCATCAGAACAGGTCCAGATATCTGTTTCCTGTCCACCAGCGAGTGACCCTGGGTAGGGCAGACTCTCTTCCCRTCCTGGCTTCTAGTTCCACACCAGGATCATAAATCTCCAGGCTCCTACCCAAACCAGGTCAATCGTAAGGGCTTAATTTTGCTCTAAGTTGGGTTAATCTTTTGTCAACCAAACTCAGTGTTCGTACTTGCATTGCTTACGTTGCAGAAATATCCAGTTTCAATTTAAAAAGAGAAAGAAAAAAGRCCACAGAGGAAATCTGCCCCTGGATTTGACTGGGAGGGAGGGAGCCAGATCCCGTGCCTGGGCTAATGCGGCAGGAGGGGCGTGGGGACGAGCTGAAGCAGGAGGGGCGTGGGGACGAGCTGAAGGAAAAGCACCCTGGGCTGTGTGAGTGACAGCGAGAGTGAGGGCTGCTGCCTCCGGAGGCTGAGCGCCGGCCGCTTCTGCCCAGGTCCCACTTTAGCACGACCACAAGGGCCATTAAGACCCTCCAACGTGCCATCAGTGGTTCTGAACTTTGCATAATGACTGAAGGCTGCCTTATCATCAGAGGGGAGGAGCGCAGTCTGGAAACCAAAGGGGCTGAAGTTCCAGCCGCTGCCAGGCCTCTGCGCCCCATCACACTCCCAGAATAGCGCACCAGTTCCCGGCAGCCCAGGCTGCACCGCAACTGGCCTTCCGGTGAGGGAGGCAGTCAAGCCTCAAACAGTGCCAGGAACAGCTGGGACTGGACAGGGCCCAGAAGCCAGCTGGTGGGCCCTGCCCTGCCCTGCCCTCCTGGAGGAACCCATCTCTGGGTCCTCTGTGGTCCCATGACTCTCCCAACACTGCTAGGGGTCTGGGCTGGATTAGAGGTTGGGGCAGCCTCAAATTCCAGGCAAGGGGTGGGGCAGTGAGTTTTAAAGGGTTTGTTGAGTACGCTATGTTGGTGGTGGCTGGGGAGGCTGGTGAAGGGCCAAATGGCCACATGCGCAGAGTGTGCAGGGTGGATGAGACCATCRGAGGCCACAGGCCAAGAAGGCAGGGCCCTGGATGGAGGCTGGCTTCTGAAGGTGAAGGGGTTTCTGGAAGAGGAAGGGTAGCTGCCCACGGCTGGCCACCCCAGAGCTCCCTGCATCTCCTCAGGCCTGAGAAGGTCCTCTGCAATGGGAAGTGAGGTCCCACAACCAGGAGGACAGGAAGGGAAACAGGAAGATGAAGGGAACTTTCACCCTTCCTCCAAGCCTGTGCCTCGGCTGGGGCGGGACAGGTGCATAAATACCTGTCCATTCACAGGTGGGACATTCTAAGGGCTATTCAAGAGGCCAGGAAAGCAAGTCAGGGCACAGACAGTGAAGACCAAGTCCAAATCCACAGCGGGTCTTGGCCTCTGAGAACCTCAGTTTTTAAGTCTATAAAACAGAGATAATGACATCTGCCTYATGGATTCGAACCTACCCTTTTGGATGCTTATATGGTCGGAAGCATCAAATTATGTAAAAAATGATTTGAAATTGTACAGCACTACATGGGGGTATCATATCATCAGACAAGCCAGATCTCTGAACTTCTTGGCCTGGGGTTCTGGACACTGGATTCTTGCTGACCCTGTGTCGTCCTCTCTCCCCTCCCACTTACAGAAGGCTRACAGCAGCCTCTCTTTTGGTCAATCAATACAATCACCAATATTTAATGCCTTTTTTTTTTTTTTTTTTGAATACAGAAAGCATTGTGCTGGGAAGGAGAGGGGCAGAATCTAGAATCCATTCCTACAGGGCCTCCCAGCATTAGGGAGGCAAGGTATCTCTGTATAAGATAATTAACAATGCAAAAAAAGGTAAGATTAGCAAATGGGGGGGGCAGAGTTCTGGGGGAAGGAGAACTCTGAGGTCACCAGCACTTGCTTGCAGGACAGCCCAGGGCTCTAGGACATGGTCTCTAAGAGGAGGGCATCTTGGATTGAGTGTAGGGACAATGGGAGCAAGTCACGGGAAGGCAGTCAGGAGGCAGGCTCAGGCCAGAGTGACCATTTCCTGTGGGAGAGAGGAAGGAGCCCCTGTTGGATACAGGCTGCAGAGGCCTTGAATGCTGGGCAAGGGGGTCTGGACTTTAAAGGCACCAGGAGCCAATTAAGGTGTTATAGAGCCCTGGAGTAAAATCAGGGAATGTCCCACATTAGATGAGGGCTCACAGGGTGACTGGAGGGGACAATGTAAGCAGGATCATCACTTTGGGGGCTAATGCAGCTATTGGGGTGAGACGGAAGGCATGCTCACCCTTGAAATGCTCTCAGATGGCGGGCCGACTCCTGAAGGCGGGGAAGCTCAATGCTGCATGGTTACACATTTCCTTTTTGTTTTTGGACAGGGTGGCGGGTTGAGTGGCCTGCATGCCTGGACCCTTGCTTTAAGATCTAGCTCTTAGGATTCACTGAAACTGTTGATGGAGGCTGGCCAAATCTGGGCAACTCAGAAAATCCAGTTCTCTGCTCCCAGGGAGTTGGTCAGCGGCCACTGAGCTGTGGACGCAGGTTTGTAGAAGGGCTCCCAGTCAGGTGGCATTCTAGCAAGCTCTATCCAAAGCCTGCTTCCGGGTACATTTCCAGAGGGGTCACCCACGGGTAGCCAGTTGAGGTGAATGAGTGTTTAACTCATCTGGCTTCCTGCTTCTTAAAGGGCCATCATGATATCGCAGTCCTCTCTATAACAAAACCCACACAGCCTCTGCTGCTCCAAACAGGAAGTCCTGTGAGACCAAGAAAAAGACCAGGCCCAACAAAGCAGGGGCTGTAACCAGTTAATGCAGAGCCCCCCCCCCCCCCAGCAAGGCCAGGTGAAATGCAAACTATTAACCAGCTGGCCACTCAGCTCAGGAACAAGGCCCCTACCTATCAGGGAGCCTGGACCCACTCTTAGTTCAGGGGGGCACTGTTCTCACTGCACTGAGGACCCTCCACCCGCTAAAAAGAGGAGGTTGGCCTGCCCCTCCATGGAGGAAGAAATGCTCCCCCAGCCCAAGAGATTCTGCAAGCTGAAACCGTGACCCAGGACAGGGAGTGGGGATAAAGCACTGGGCAAGTTCCTCTGAGGGACTTAGAGACCTCCAGCACTCCCTGGCTGGGCTCCTCCATGCTAAAACTGGGTTGCCAGGGGCCCTACCTTGGGCTCTGGTGTGGGGCTTGCTGGCTGGCCCAGGGGAGGTGGGATTCTCCAGCAGACAAGATGCTTGCCTGTCACGGGAAAGTTGTGGCACCATTTGCAAGGGTGCTGTATGAGAGGGAAGGTCAGCAGTGGTCTCCTACAGACTAGTGGCTATTCCTTGCAAGTACAGCTCAGAGGTAGAGCACTTGGCAGCAGAATAATGGCTATTCCATAGGCATTTGCTGAAAATATCTACCATGCTCCAGGCTGTGTGCCAGATGCTGGGGACCGATAGTAAGAAGAGTCCCTGCTCTTGAGAAAGGTTCAAAAGGTTACTCATGACACACCAGGAGAAACGATAAGCAAATGCTTAATGGACTGGGGTAAGCGGGCAGCTCACAGTGGGTCCTCTTGGAAAAACTGAGAACAGCCTCATTCTGAGCCAGGCAGATTTGCAAAAATTTTTGCTCAGACAGAGACAGGAGGTGGGAGGGACAGGACATCTCAGGTAGAAAGACCAGCACAGGTGAGGGCTTAGGGCATGCGTCCCAAAGAGTGATCAAGCACGGCTCCCCTGATGGTGATGTGGAGTTGAAAGTGTCAGAAAAGCAGATTCTGCAGGAGTTTGGGTTCAAAACTGCCAGATGTCTTTAGCTAAAAGGCCTAAGGCTCAGAGAGGTTAAGCAGTCACAGATAGGAGAGGCTGGACACTGACCATCTGTAAGTGCCAGCCTWGTGGGAGGAACATTCTAGACCCACTGCATTTTGGGGATGGTTATCACCTCCATTTTGCAGTAGAGAAAGGTGGGGTCCAGAGAGATGAGGTGACCTGCTGGTCACACAGCTGGCAGATGGCATCCTGGCCCTTCGAGCACCTCAGACTCCAGGATTGAGGGAACCCAGGCAGCTAAAAGAAGGGGCTTTCCAGCGAGTAAAGGTGGTGACATTCTACCTTCCAGTAAAAATCAGATGCTTGGGAGAGGGCAGATGGGAGGCACTGGGGTGCTCTGCCTCAATCCAGGAAGGCTGGGAACAGTGGGTGTGCAGCACCTGCCAGGACCATGTCTCAAAGGCTTACTTTCTGGTGACAATGGGAGTTCACAATGGGTTCCATGCCTGCTGGGTTGTATTAACTAAGRTTGAGGGGCACCAGGGGACACAGATGACCCTGTGATTGAAGTCTGAAAAAGCACAGTACCTCCCGAGAACCTCCCTTTCTAGAATGGTAGGCTGSGTGGGTACAGCCCTGCCAGCTAGGGTGAGGCTCAGGGTGGCGTGGGGGCGGCGGCTCCCAACTCCATTCTCCCTACCCAGGTCCAGGGACTGAAGTGGAGTGCAACAGAAATCCTGGACACCCAGGGGCCCAGGCCATCTGCGCTGAGGGACTTGCTTTGTCCTTTGAAGACAGATCCTATTCCAGAAGGGAGCTGGGGTGAGGAGGGAAGAGCAAACAGTTCTCAGCGAAACTGACCTACATTTCCCCAGGGCTCAGCCCTTGAGAGTGGGGCCCCTTTGCAAAGGACTCCCGGGTGGTGATCCACGATCAGGCAACAGACAGTCCAGTCCTTCACCTGCCTGAGGCAGGGCTGCAGGGGACTAGAGCYGATGTCTGGAGAACCTAGGTGGGGAGGAGAGGCTCTTGAAGAAGGCAAGCAAATCGACATAGTATCAGGGCCATAACTTAAATTGTCTTCCACTCCTTAGGGCCAACAGGTCTTGTAGTTTCAGGCTATTTCTCCTACATGATGACCCTGCCCAGTGAGCTGCCAGGTAGTGGCCTGGTTAAGCAAAYGTAGTTAGAAGCCAGGACAACTTAGCTTCTCTCACTCAGGTAGATGGGGACTTTTCAGTGTGGGCATGGAGCTGCTAACCCTATTCAAGCCTTGGCCCCTGACTCTGGGGTGGGAGGTGAACGTAGGGATTGGAGAGCTCTGGAGCAGCAACACTGAAACAATTTGGTCTTAGCAGCGTTCTTCAGATAAGCCTGCCAGCATAGGGCACAGGAAGGGATATAGTGTTCTAGAAAGCCAGGGCCCTACCGCTGCTACCCGGCTAAGCAAACATTCCCTCCTAGTCAGAAAGCTCGGTGTGCAAAGGGAGGAACAGCCTGAGGTTTATCGCTCGGGCAGCTCTGGGTGATTGATAGAGTTTAGACTCCCGGTTGTCATAGACCTACGCACGCAAACAAACAGCCGGGGAGGTACCCCTCCCCTCTCCGCGCCCGACCCCACCTGGCCACCCCCTCACCCGTGACCAGCTGCTTCCCCTCCCCCTCGCGGGCGCTCGGGGTTGAACAAACATGCCCAGCAGTCCGCCCCGCCACCGGCTGGCTCCGACCGCGAGCTGCTGGCGATCCCCAGGCAACTAGGCGTCACGAGAATGGGCACCCCGAGACCCGTCGCCCAGCCCTCCCCCGCGCCCCCAGGGGCCGGGCCAGGCTCAACAACCTCCTCTTTCTCSGTGCGCCTTGGCCTCTCAGGGCCTCCGGCGCAAGCCCAGCAGGCCCGCTCCCGGCCTCCAGGGGCAGCGCAGCCCACCTCCCGCGGGGCCCGCGGCCCCTGGAGGAGGAGGCCGGAAAATCTCTTGTTTACTGGGCTCTCGTCTCAGCCGGGATTCGCTTCCCCTATTCTGCGGTTCCCTTTCAGCAGATTCCTGGGGCCGGAGGGGTCGGGGCAGTCACCCGCAGATCCACCCTGGCAGGGAGCGGGRGTGTGGGGCTCAGGGGAACCCGAAATCGTGGAAAGGTCCCCCGGCCGCGGGAGGGGCTGGACTCGGAGTCGGGGCCCGGTTAAACACTGTACCTCGGGGAACAAAACCGTAAAGACTAATTAGGACAAGTCGGCACGCGGAACGGGGACGCGGGGAGGGGGGCGCGCGCTCCGAGTTGAGCCGGGTCTGGAGCGGTCTCGGGAAACCCGAGCGCTGGATAGTCAACCCAGTGCGACGTTTGCCCACGGTCTGCAGTGGTTGGGGCTCGGCCCACGGGATTAGGGGCGTGCGTGGCGGCATTCCCACGTGATCTTGGTGACTGGGGTATCAGGGAAGGAGCGCGCGTTAAAGAGGTGGACGCTGGGTGTGTGAAGTGTCCACGTGTGCAAGCTCTGGAGGGGAGGGGGCGCAGAAGGCGTGACAAAGACGGACTTTGTGTCTCAGTGTGCGCCTGAGGCAGCGAACTGCGTCTGGCGTGTCTCGAAGGAAAGCCACGACGAAGGTGACAAAGGCTGGGTGTCCGCCACTGAGAGACGCGCCAAGGCAGCCCCGGCGCCAGTGGGTGCKTACGCGAGCTGGGAGATGCCGCGAGGGAGAGCCCGCCCGCGGGATGTGCTGGGCTGCACCCCAAACCGCTTTCCAGAGAAAGAGCCGAATCCAGAAAGTGAGTGCGCGTGAATGTGCGCGTGCTCGCGTGCGGGGGCGTGGCAGTAAACAGCAACAACCCACACGCCAGCTTGGCCAGAAACTCGGATCTCGCTCACCGGCCGGAAAGTGCGTCTCGGCCGAGGCTGGAGGTGAGTCGGCGGGGGGAGGGCAGGGCGGGCTTTGTTACTGGGTAAACGGATTGCACCTACCTGGAGCGCCGCGGGCGCCGGATAAGCGCCGTGAATGGAGGTGATGTCACGGTGATACCGGCCGGCCCACCCTCGCCGAGAGGAAGGAGCCGGGCACCCGGCGCGACAGCCAACGACCTAGCGCGCCCAGCTCTGCCTGGGTCCCGGGAAGGCAGGTCCTGCGCCCGGCGCCCCCGCCGGGGCCCCGCCACCCCAGCCAGGGTTRAGGCTGGCGCTGCGCCCTGCGCGGAGTCCCTCCCACCCCCGCCCGCGCTCTGCCTGGAGCTGGAGTTGGCCCCAGACGCCGCGCCGGAGTCGGGCTGGCGGCGCGTCCCAGGTAAGGCTGCTGCCTTCCCGCTCCGCCCTCCCCTCCGCCGCCCGGAAGAGCCGGGTAGAGCTGGCAGGGAGTGGGCCAGGGCAGAGGCGCTGGGGTGGACACCCGGGAGGGGGGGGACGCCGCGCCAACTCCGTTGGGTCSCGGAAAGTTTCCAAACCCAAGCCAGCTGGGGACTGGGGGCGGAGGAAGCCAGGAGCTGCGGCTCCGGGTGGACAGCAAGAGAAAGGAGTCCGCGGCGGGAGTGTCCCTCGACCCGCCTGCCTCCAGGAGGCACAGATTCCTCTCCGCTGCCCGATGCTGTGGAAGGGAAGGGGCAGGTTTCTGTGGACAGGGGAACTTTGACGAAAAGTGACTGGCCTCCTTGCCCTTTCTGTTAAGACGTCCGAGGAAGCGCGAGTGTAGACCTTAGTAGCGGGGGCTGGAGTGGGAAGGGGAAGGCTCCGGATCTGTCTGCGGGAAAGTTTGGAATTTTAGACTATCACACCGCTGGATTCCTGGCAGCGTGGCTTGAAGACCCCACCCCCACCCTCCTGGCTTTTCCTGTGTCCTTTTCACTACCCCCCACACACACACACACCGTAGTTTTACACCCGGGAAGACCTCATCACTTAAAGCTCGCGCTCTTGATCCTAAAGCTCCAGAATGTGTACAAACAGGGTTTTGTGGCCTGGATCCCCACCTCCCACACCACCACCATCACCAACCATGTGCCTTCAAGTGTGGCTGGGACAGGGAGTGCTGATGGGGGGTGGGGCGCATTCCAGAGGGACATTCCTGAGCAGACCCTTGGTGAAGACTTCTGAGTCTCTGAATGCCCCAGGCAGTTTGACCCAAACRCCAATTCTTGGTATAGGGTGGGGTGGGGACCGGATTGAGGTGGCTCCTTCCTGGCACWGGCATCTCCCAGACTCCTTATTGGATGGGCTAAGTGTCAGAGCCCTCTGGATTGAGGGCTAACACCCTAGGACCCAGCCGGCGACTGAGAGAGAAAGGAGGAGGAGATGAATGGGAGGTGAGAGGAAACTGGCAGAGTCCACCCATCTTTTCAGTCTGCTGAGTGGAGGCAGCCACCTCAGGGAGGAAGAAGGGTGCTCTGTGCTCTCCCTGGCTGAGCAGCCCCCTCCGGGAGGGGCTCTCAATGTTCTTGGCACCCTTGGAGGCAACCACTGGCCTCAGGTTGATATCACTCTGCACCCTTGAGCCTGGGAGACAGAMCAGGACTGCTTCCCCAGATTCTTGGGGCTTTCTTTCCACGATGGTATTCTTCACCCTGAGGAGTCCTCCAGTTTGGGTGTGGATGGTGGAGGGGTGAGGGGGGCTGGCTGCCTCACCTGTTGCTGGGTAAAACCAGTCAGGGCTGGCTGGGCCTCCGCCCTCCAACCCTGGAGGCCTCTCTGCTCCCCCTGGAGTGAGAAGGGCAGTGGTTCTGGAGCTGGACTAGACTGACTCAGACCAGAGCTGGGGGCTGGGTGGCTGAGCCAGGGAAAGGCAGATTTCAGAGGTGATTAAAAATATTTGTGTGACTGGTTCTGGAGAGGGGAAGCAAAAGGGCCCTTTTGTCCAGAAAAACATCTGAGGCTGGACTTCAGCTGTGGGGAGTGGGAGGCTCCTAGGGTACGAGGAGCTTGCTCCCTCTCCCATTCCTCTCTTGGTATCTCTTAAAAATCTTTATGCAGGAGATGTGACCCCAAAATGAAGGAGGCGGGACTGGGTGAGGAGAAATGGACGTTGTGTCCATTCAGGGGATGATTTTGCAATGCCTGCTCTGTCCAAGCCCCAGCATAGAAGTTTCAAGGAACACTGTCTTGTTCACTAGCCCCAGACTTAGAGCCTGGGAAGGGAGAGAGGTGTCCATGATTTTAATGTTCAAGGCTCAGGAGGTTCAGTGTGAGTACAGGATCCTGAGGAAGAGCCCAAGAGCAGAGCTGGGTCCATCTGGTCTCACCCTTAGCCACCATCCCCAGGGGACGTCAACTAGATGGCTGAATCTGCACTCTTGGTTGTCCGTGCGCCTCTTGAGCTTTATTCTCTTGAACTCTTCTGCTGGCTTCCAAGGGTTTCTGTCCTAAGCAGGGGACCAGAGCCAGGCTCAGCTGGCCCAATTTTTTTTCCACCTGAGTCAGTATATTTCTGTCTCCCCACCTGCCCTTCAATTTTGGGGGGAAGCAGAGGATTAAGACATTTTAGGATGGGAATGGATTGCTTCATCTGAGGCTGGTCAGTTTCAGGGCAGCTGGATGGCATCAAGGTACCCGTTGAGGGTGGGGTGAGTAGATTCCTGGGGGGTTTGGTGGCAGAGTGAGATTTGAAGGGTAAGCTCTAGGAAGCTGTTTGGCCAATAGCAAAGTCAGGAGGAAATGGGGAGGAGGGATCTGTAAAGCCTCCTTGACCCTGGCCCAAGTGCCCAAGGGGTGCTAGGGGCCAGCAGGGTATAGACATATTTCTTTTTTCTTTCGTGGCACTGGGCATGGAACCCAGGGCCACACACATGCTAGGCAAGCACTCTGCCGCGGAGCTACTCCCCAGCCCTGGCAAGGTTTTTTGTAATGATGTGGCTGTTATCAGATGTGAGTGGATAGTACYTTTTTTTTTTTTTAATTTAGCATTATTTCCCCCTACACCCTACTAGTCCTTAGATTGTGTTTTGATAAGTGTCTCTGAGATCTGGCCATTATGGTTTTACCTTTGGTTTTGATCTTAAAACTGGAGTGAATTTGTCCCTAAGAAATTGATTTCCTTATGCTTTTTTTACTCTCTCTCTCTCTCTCTCTCTCTCTCTCTCTCTCTTTCTTTCTCTCTCTCTCTCTCTCAATACTGAGGACTGAGCACAGGGCTGCTCTACCACTGAGATATACCCCCAGCCCTTTTATTTTTTTATTTTGAGATAAGAGTCTTGCTGAGTTGCCCTCAGACTGGCCTTGAACTTGCGACCCTCCTGCCTCAGTCTCCAGATTATTGGTGTGGGCCACTGCTCATAACCCCATCCCTGATGATGCCCCCATCATGCAAAAAGCAGCCTTCAGTGATTTCCCAYTTCCTCTTAGAATAAAGCTCATACTCCTTCCCAAGGACTTTTCTCATGAGCCTCCCTTTCCGAGTGCACTTTATATACTTGGAGAACAGAGGCTGGATGTAGCTCAGTTGGCAGAGCGCTCGCTCTCCTAGCAGGCAGGCGGCCCTGGGTTCCATCCCCAGCACCACAAGAAGAAAAGAAGAAAAGCTAACATGCTTGGTGCACTTGACCTTCTCCCTCTTGGTCTGAACTTGGGTTGATCTCAGGGCTTTGACTTGTTGTCTTGCCTGTCTCCTTGCCCCCTGTGCTTGCTCAGCCCTTACCTCACATTCTTCAAGGCTTAGTCTCCTTCCATCCCTGCCTGTGGCAGTGTCTGGAATGAGGTTCATTTTGCTTTTGCTTATTTATTTAGTCGTAGTAACATTCTTGGTGCATTTTTGTTTTATGCCAAATAAAATGCTTTTTTTTTTTTTTTTTTTTTTTTTTTTTGGTGCTGGGGATTGAACCCAAGGCAAAGACTGTACCTCCGTATACTCCCAGCCCCCCAGTAATATTGTCCTTTTTTTGAGGCACTGGAGCTCCAACCCAGGGCCTCACACGTGTCAGGCAAGCACTCTACCACTGAGCCACATCTCCCAGCCCGATAGAATGCATCTTGATAGGTCTCTGTCCTCTGCTCAGGCTCCTCAGGCCCTCTCCTCTCTGCTCTGCGACACCTCTCTCCTACAGGTAAAATCTCTGGAGAATCCCATGGCATATTCCTCCTGGAGCCTTTGTTTGTTTGTTTTTTTTTTTTTTTGTATACCTAGCTTATTTCTCCTATTAGATTTTCTATGTACCGTCCATTGAAGGACTGTGTTCGATCCCCTTTGTATTTTCCACAGCTCTTAGAGCAACAGGGCCCCCTAAATATGCAGTCAGTGTTTGCTGATTTGGACTAATTGTCTCTTCTAAACTGGGACCTACCCCAGGGAGGTAGGATGAGAAGCTCTAGAAGATGCCGGTGCCCCAAGATATCCCAGCCATTCTCAGTGTTCAGTTTCACATTTCCATCCTCATCCCAGTTTCTAGCTGGTTCTGCGGGCCAAAAGTCGCCCAAGATGGAGCTGAACATTTAACTTCCCACACCATGTTGTCATCTCTCAAGTGTTTCCCGGAGTTGCTCCATATTACCCCTTACCCATCAGTTCCCTTGGACCCCCTTTCTCTTCCCAGCAGTTGTGAATAGAGTTGGTGCTTTATTGATTTATGACTACACACGGAGTCCCCCTACAAAAGCTTGCATCCTGGGCTTGAGAGTCAGTGCTCAAAACTTGCCCAATTTGTGCTAAGCCCTGGGCTTAATCCCTAGCACCACCTGAAGTGCCTGGGAACCAAGCTTTTTGCATCAAAATGGAGAGAAACAAGCTGTTACAATAGAGGTTATTTAGAATAACAATAGTAAATGTACATCAGAATGGATGGTGGTCCCAGAAAGGCTGGGAGAATTGACCCTGTGGTGGGGACCCAGATGACTTAAAATACCTTGAATATTTTCAAGGGCGGTGAAAATTTAAAAATTGAGCACTGTTTTTATGTCATTTTTCACTTAATTTTTCAAATTTTATTTCTCCTGATTCCATAAGTGTCTTTTCATTTATCAATTATGGAGAGAATTTCTATTGATTGAGATTTGGGACTTTTGCTTGTTAAGTAGCCACGGTGTCGTGGTGCATACCTCTAATCTCAGAGACTGAGGATGAGGCAGAGGATTGCAAGTTCAAGGCCAGCCTCAGAAACTTAGCAAGACACAGTCTCAGAATAAAGAATAAAAAGGATGCCCCTGGGTTCAGTCCCTAGTGTCTCTCTCTCTCTGTCTCTCTCTCTCTCTCACACACACACACACACACACACACATATACACACATATACACACACTCACGGAAAGGCCTGTAATCCCAATAGCTTGGGAGGCTAAGGCAGGAGAATCGCAAGTTCAAAGCCAGTCTCAGCAATTTAGCAAGGCCCTAAGCAACTTAGCAAGGCCCAATCTAAAAATAAAAACCAAAAATGGCTGGAGATACAACTTACTGGTAAAACACCTCTGGGTTCAATCCCCAGTAAATAGAGAAAGAAAAACTAGAAAAGAGGTTAAGGGGACAAAGCCACACCCACCACCGCTGTGAGGAAGGTGGTGGGGAAGATAGGGAGTTAAATGGTGGTTCCCCTGCCAACCACTAGTGGTCGCTGTCAGCCCAGGAAAGCTTGGTTACTGTCTGGAAAAGTAGGAGTCAGGGCTACAACTAGTTTGTTTTTGGTACTGGGGATTGAACCCAAGGGTGCTCCACCACTGCTAGGAGCCACTGCAAAAGTATTACATTCATATGGTAAATGGACTCCTGCTGTTCACCTAGGCCCGTTTGGGAACTCAAGTTACTGGACTCCCGGAGAGTTCCCATTGGTTGGGGRAGGATGGTAGGAGGGTGTTCCGGGGGAAGTGGAGCCCCCGGCTCAGGTAGACACATACGTGTGTGGACCGGCTTGTTAGGGGACGCACACGGCCTCTCACAAAATAAAACTTTGTTTCAGTTTGACTGGCTTGTGTTTTCGTGCCCAGCCGGGTTGCAAATGGCGTGCACTGACAGCCCAGCAGGGAGGCGCCCAGCAGGAAAGCAGCAGGCGGGGCTCGGCTGAGCAGCCTGCACACCACCGAGCTACATGCCAGCCCTTTTTGTATTTTTATTTTGAACCAGGGTCTCACCAAGTTGCCGAAGCTGGCCTTGAATTTGCAATCCTCCTGCCTCAGTCTCCTGAGCTACTGGAATTATAGGCGTGCACCACAGTTCTTGGCTACAACTAGTTATTTGAACATGCAGGGTGACATAAATGTGAAGGACCTGTATTTCTTGTAATTTTGAATGTTATAACTTAAATTTGAGAGCATTTAAATTTTGTGTGCGGGCTGGGGATGTGGCTCAAGCGGTAGCGTGCTCGCCTGACATGCGTGCGGCCCGGGTTCGATCCTCAGCACCACATACCAACAAAGACGTGTTTGCCGAGAACTAAAAAAAAATAAATAAATATTAAATTTTGTGTGTTAGGTCTCCAAGTCAACTTACAGTTTTTAATTGTAAAACACAAATTCGGGCTTTATTTATTTATTTGCAGTGCTGGGAAGGAATCCAGGACCTCACATTTGATAGGAAAGTGCTCTACCATTGAGCTTCATACCCAGCTTCTCAGGTTAGGTCTTTAATTTCTCTTAACCTGCAATATCCTTTTTTCTGGAGGGAGGTGCTGGGGATTGAACCCAGGGATGCTCTCCCGCTGAGCCATATCCAGAGCCCTTTTTATTTTTCATTTTGAAATAGGATCTGAGTTGCTGAGGCTGTCCTCAAAGTTGCAATCCTTCTGCCTCAGCCTCCCTAGTCACTGGAATTACAACCAGTTATAATATCCTTTACCTCCACTTCACACAGGGAGAATCTAATTGGTAGAGAGGCAGAGTTTCCTTTTCCTCTGTGAGGCAGATGTATAGCATTGGGCAGAGCCACAGTGAGTATATGGTATGATGAGTTATCTTGCTGGTGTGAACAGAAGATACCTTTCTCCCCATCTAGCTCGTATCTTAAAAGTCTTCCACCAAAGAGTCTTTGGGGTTTTGTCTTGCTCTTGCCTGGTTCTTCTTTTAAAATGTTAATGCCTCATAGGAGGATTTTTGCATTAAGTCTTGAAGCCCTTGGGGGGGAAGTTAGTTTATTTTATCCTTGACTTCAGCTTCTGAGCTAGATAGAGAACTCTGGATTCTAAAGAGGAAAGTTGGCAGTAAAAATGGAAAACCGAGGGCAAAGAAGGGAGGAAGTGGGAGGGATGGGGAACTCAAGTTTTCAGCTTGTCTGTTTTTTAGGGACTTCAGGTTATGCCTGCTACAGGTGCCTGTTCAGTGCTTGCAGGATGAAGGATGATTGAATGAAGGAATGTGTGGCTGACTGACCAGCATGCTCTGGGCCTCACAGGGACAGGATTTAGGGGCATAGTCTCTTGACCTTCTGAACCCTAGAAGTCCCAGGGCAAAGAGGAAGAACTGAATGGGTCCTGCGCTTGGTTTTGAGTTGCTCAGAAGCCCTTTGACCCCCTAGCCTTAGCTCTGTGAGCTCAGGGAATATTTGAATCCACCTTATGGTTGAAAGGGCGGGAAGTGAAAATTCAGTGACATTCCTTCTTTTTTCCATGGTGAAGCAGAGGGATGACAGATRGGCTTCATCTCTGGTCAGTTGATAGGCTTTGTGAGTTCTGTGTTAAGAAGATTCTGGAGCCCAGGTGGATAGTCGTATCATCAACAAGTGCTGTCTGCCATGGTCAGCACTGTGCATGCTGGAGGCTGGCCTTGGAGGACTCAYACCCTTCTTCCTCTGTCTCCAGGGACCCAGCTGGTGCCTGGCCTGGGAGCCAGGATGGCCACTCGCAAAGCCTTGCTGATTTGCCTGGGACTGCCTCTCTTCCTGTTCCCAGGGGCCCAGGCCCAGAACCATGCCCCGCCTGGCTGTAGCCCAGACCTCAACCCCCTCTACTACAACCTGTGTGACCGCTCTGGAGCTTGGGGCATTGTCCTGGAGGCCGTGGCTGGGGCGGGCATTGTCACCACGTTCGTGCTCACCATCATCCTCGTGGCCAGCCTGCCCTTTGTGCAGGACACCAAGAAGCGGAGCCTGCTGGGGACCCAGGTGTTCTTCCTGCTGGGCACGCTGGGCCTCTTCTTCCTGGTGTTCGCCTGCGTGGTGAAGCCCGACTTCTCCACCTGTGCCTCCCGGAGGTTCCTCTTCGGGGTCCTGTTTGCCATCTGCTTCTCCTGCCTGCTGGCCCACGTCTTTGCCCTCAACTTCCTGGCCCGCAAGAACCACGGGCCCCGCGGCTGGGTGATCTTCGCCGTGGCTCTGCTCCTGACCCTGGTGGAGGTCATCATCAACACCGAGTGGCTGATCATCACCCTGGTGCGGGGGGCTGGCGAGGGCGGCCCTGTGGGCAATGGCAGCGCCGGCTGGGCCGCGGCCTCCGCCTCCCCCTGTGCCATCGCCAACATGGACTTTGTCATGGCGCTSATCTATGTGATGCTGCTTCTGCTGGGGGCCTTCGTGGGCGCCTGGCCCGCCCTGTGCGGCCGCTTTCAGCGCTGGCGGAAGCACGGGGTCTTTGTGCTGCTCACCACGGCCACCTCCATCGCCATCTGGGTGGTGTGGATCGTCATGTACACCTACGGCAACCAGCAGCACCACAGCCCCACCTGGGACGACCCCACGCTGGCCATCGCGCTCGCCGCCAACGCCTGGGCCTTCGTCCTCTTATATGTCATCCCCGAGGTCTCCCAGGTGACCAAGGCCAGTCCGGAGCAGAGCTACCAGGGGGACATGTACCCCACCCGGGGCGTGGGCTACGAGACCATCTTGAAGGAACAGACGGGCCAGAGCATGTTTGTGGAGAACAAGGCGTTTTCCATGGATGAGCCCATCTCAGGTGGGTCCCCGGACACCCTCCRGCCCCTTCCTTATCCTGTGTCCTTTACCGTGATGCTTCCTGGTTCCCACTCACAGAGCCTGGATTTGATCCCCAGCGCCACATACACGCACACGCGCGCTCGCACACACATACACCAATTCCATTTTTAAGGCTTTTCTTCATAATTCATGTAGTTCATGAAGATATTCTCCTTGTAAAATTTCAAACATTACAGAGAAACAAAATCCCCCCATCTCCCCCCGCGCAGCCCCCCATCCTCCCGACCCCTTCCTGTTCCCTGCCCAGAACTGAGCGCTGTTGACGGGCACGTCCCTGTGCCTGGGTGTCCTCCTGTGCACAATGGGGTAGTGACAGTGATCCAGGGCCCTTGTGAGGACTGAATCAACAACGACTGTGCCTGACACTCGGGAAACGCTCCTAGAAACACGAGCGATTGTGGATCGCATTATTTCACTATTAACACCCTTTTAGAGGTTGTTTTCTGCTGTGCATGTATCCATCACCATCTTAGTTTACTTTTAAAGAAAGTCGTTTTCAACTTTTTTTCTTTTTTTAAATAAAAGCTCTCGTGGGGCCTGGGGTTCGGGATGTGGCTCAGTGGCAGAAGCTTGCCTAGCACGCAGCGGACCCTGGTTCCATCCCAGCCTCCCCACTTCAAAAAAAGCGCTATGGTGCCAGGCAGTGACCTCAGCAGCATATTTATTTTCCCATTGTTTTTATTGGTGCATCATAGTTGCACAGGAGGGTGGGATTTGTGTGTTACATATTCTTACGTGGATACAGGATAACARTAKACTTTGGCCAATATCACTCCCCAGGATTCCCCTTTCCCCCCTGGTCCCTTTCTGTGAGACCCACTTCCCTTCTTTCTCTTCCTGTTTCCTGTCTGGCTTCCACACATGAGAGAACACTGGAGGTGCAGGCTTGAAGCCCTACCCTGACCTAAGCTGATTGTGCTGATTAAGATGCTTGGGGACTTCAGGTTTGGTGGTTTGCTTTTTTTTTTCTTTTTTTTTTTTTKTGGTTTTTTTTTTTTTTTTGGTACTGGGGATTTAACCCAGGGGTGCTTACCCCAGCCCTATTTTGTATTTTATTCAGACAGGGTCTCATGGAGTTGCTTAGCACCTCACTTTGCTGAGGCTGGCTTTGAACTCATGATCCTCCTGCCTCAGCCTCCCAAGCCTCTGGGATTACAGGTGTGCATACCCGGCAGGAACTTCAGGTTTTAACCGCCTCTGGTCACCCTGTGCCAGTTCTGGGGCCTCTGCAGGACAGAGTCAGAGGCTGTGGAAGATCCAGAATCACAGAAATCTGTTTCTTTCAAACTGTGAGATACTCAAAATCCTTGCTTTGGGGAAAGCAGTGACCCTTGTCCTGCTGGGCACTCGATCTTTGATCTGCCTCCCACTGGGGCTGACCGCTGGCCTTACCCTGGGGTGGCTCCTGGCACACAGGAGTGGGCTGAGTGTGCAGGGGGCACTTGGTGGAGTCAGCAGGAGAGGGGGGACTGTGGGCAGGTTCAGGAACTTGCAGCCCGCTGTCCCTGGGCGCTTACGCAGAGCTCTCAGCCTTTGTCCTCTCGCGGCAAACACTTCTGGGCTGTGAGTTTATATTTCCTTTTTTTTTTTTTTTTTTCCTAAATGGAAAAATCAATAACGTGAGCCCGGCACTTAGAAGCCTCATAGGTTGTCCCTGGCCCTGCAGGAGACAGGCCAGGCTACCCTGCACTTGGGCCCCTTGGGTTGGTCAGTGGGTCTCCTCCAATACCTCGAGGTGCCTGCAGGGTGGACAGATCAGGAAAACAACACCCCAAGGCACCCAGGAGAATTCCTGGAGCTGCAGATAGTTCTGGAGACTTGCCAAGGGGCCCTGGATGGGATGAGCAAGCAGTCTCCCCAGCCGGGTCCCAGTGGGTGGGTGGGGGCATCTGTAGCCAGCCCTGCCCTGTGACGATGTGAAGATTTGTGGGCTGAGGGGTCTCAGCAGTATTTATGCTAGCTCCTGGCAGCTGGCCCGCAGCAGTAGAGGCTGGAGCTGGAGGCTGGCCATCTTGGAAGGCAGCCTAAGGCCCATGTGCCCCTCTTGGCCTCTGGCCCTGGGGCGGATAGGGATGTGAAGGATGCTGACTGGGCGTTTTTCTGAGCTGCTGGATGGGGGTGGGGGGTCTTGTACCACAGGGAGCTCAACAGCATGGTGGTCTTCTATGCATCTTTCTGTACAAAGGGGTGCGGGCTTGGAAGGGCCCGGCCCATCCACTGTGTGGCTCCCCCACACTCTGGAGAGGGCTGCTTGGGTTGTGGGAGGGGGAAACACTGAGAATCAGGGATCCTCAATCTGCACCTGTCTTTCCTTACAGCTAAGAGACCAGTGTCACCTTACAGTGGCTATAACGGGCAGCTGCTGACCAGTGTGTACCAGCCCACCGAGATGGCTCTGATGCACAAAGGCCCGGTGAGTGGGGTCCCAGGAACCGCGCAGAGCCCAGCTGGGCAGGTGGGGAGAGAGGGCCCTGTGGTGGGAGGAGGGCCAAGGCAGGCTTCTCATCTGGGAATGTCCCCAGGGAACCCAGAGCCCTAGTTCTTACCGATCTCCTGGAGGTGATGTGGTCACTGCCTCTGGCCACACTGCAGTGACCTGCCCTGTGTCACTGGGCATCACACACAGCCTGGGCCTAGCTGCTATTAAAATGCAGAACCACTTGGTAAAGCTCCCCGCTTTACCCTAAAGAGCTCGGGGAGGGACAAAGGTCTCAGCCAGGTACTCCCCAAAGTGACAGGGGACTGAGTGTAGCAGGTCTCTCCGGGTATCTAGTTCTCACCCGCAGCTGTCCAGAGAGGGCCTCCAGTTCCCCGTCTCCTCCCACCTCCCCTGGGCTCTGGGAGCCAGATGGTCCATTAGCCAAGCCGGGAGGGGACAGGAAGCCGGTGGGTTAGATTCCCACTCCATATATGTTCTCCTCCTGGCTGGCAGTGGCTGCGGGGAGAGGTCAGCGACCTGCCTTGGCAGGACTCTGAGAACAGGAAGCCAGGAGGTCAGCGGGGTTCACTTCTGTCCCCCCCCACCTCCCACCTCCTGCCGTAAGCCAGAGGCAGGGGCTGGCCATGTGTCTGGAACTTCCGACTCCAGCTCTGTCCCTCTCCCCAAGCCTGAACCTGTGGCCAAGCCAGGGAGAGCAGGCCCAGGCCCTTAGGGACTGCCATATCATGGCCACCCTTCTGTCCTTCCCAGTGTGTTTCATTGATGATCTGGACTAGCAGGGATATTTATATATATATATATATATATATATATATTTTTTTTTTTTTAAATTTTTTTAGTAGTTGTAGATGGACTCAATACCTTTACTTTATTTATCTTTACATGGTGCTGAAGATCAAGCCCAGTGCCTCACACATGCTAGGCAAGTGCTCTGCCGCTGAGTCACAACCCTAGCCCTAACAGGAATAATTTTTCTGCCTGGTTCTCAAAACATGGTTCACAGACCACCAGAGTTAACATCCCGGGAACCTGCAGAAAATGTGGATTAGCACCTCTTGGTGTCCCCSGGGGTTGTTGACATCACCTGGGTAGCTTGGTTTCCACCAGGAAGGGAAAAACTCCCCCAGGCAGTTCTGGGCTCCCTCTCCCCGCCCCAGTAGTTAAACATTTCCCACCTCCAGCTGGGGCTCAGCTCCGAGGGGGTGGATGGCTTCACAAAGAGTCCTGCTGATTCGGTGCATACCCAGGTCTAGAGACCATTTATCCAGATGTTCCGGAGGTGGAGATGGCACACAGGTGGGGGGAACACCTGGTTCTGACTCCTGCAGGCTGGTTTGGGGCCCTGGAGCTACAGACGTTGAAGACTGGTCTTCTCCTTAGGGATAAGGCAGGTGGGGGCAGGAGTTCATCTGCCCTCCAGGTAGGAGCCGCCTGCCTCAGGACCCTGCCCCCACAAGGCAGCCAAGCTCCAGGGCTTTCAGGGATTTTGTCTCTAAATCAGACTGGTCCGTCCAGATGACTTAGTGCCCAAGAGAAGGGTGTCCAGGTATTGTGACATTTGGGGGGGCTCAGGTAAGGTTCTTGGAGGAGGGGAGCCCGGAGGCAGGTCATAGGTCATCCTCCAGGGACCTGAGCTTCCCCCTTAGCCCTGGACAGCCTCAGGTGAGCGAAGCCCTCAGTCGCATCCCTAGAGGCAGAAGAGTTAGGGGCTCGAGGTCAGCCAGGTCTTTCCACAGTTGTCAGCCCCAGGTGCCACTGGGACCTGGCTGGAGTGGGGCAGAGGGGACGAGAAGGAGGAGCTGGCACTCAGGGCCCTGCAGGAAGCAGAGTGTTTGTACCTCCGCCCTGGCGGAGCCTGGCCCCGTCCCCCTGACTGTGACACCGCCTGTTCKTCCTTCCAGTCCGAAGGCGCTTATGACGTCATCCTCCCACGGGCCACTGCCAACAGCCAGGTGATGGGCAGTGCCAACTCGACCCTGCGGGCTGAAGACCTGTACGCGGCAGCCCAGAGCCACCAGGCGGCCACGCCACCGAAGGACGGCAAGAACTCTCAGGTCTTTAGAAACCCCTACGTGTGGGACTGAGGCGGCAGCCACGGCCAGGAGGAAGCRGGCAGATTTGGGGAGGGCCCTCAGGACCTGGCCTGGGCGAGGGACCCCCAGGACCCCCATGCTGTGTGACTCCTCCTCCCACACTGGCTCAAAGCAGCTGGTGCCCAGAGCCGTGAGGCCCCCGTCTGCCAATGTTCCGGGGGTGTCCTGGGTGCCCCCACCCACTCCTCAGTGTTCGTGGAGTCCAGGAGCCAGCCTGGTTTCGTGCCAGGGCCACCTCCGGCCGTCCTGCTCCAGCCAAATAGTGTTCTTCTTGGGGTGGTGGCCGGTCCGCGCCTACATTCTCTGGAGATTCCTGCAGCCTCAAGAAGTCTCCAGGCAGGCACGTCGGGCCTGGGTCTTGCTCCTCTGTGAGGATCAAGGGTGCCTAATAAACATGCCTCTGCTTTGTTAACGCACGCGCTGGGCTCGTGGTTTCTGGTGGGCTCTCAGCTTCCAGTGTCCCTCTCTCCCCTCCTCCATGGGCAGTGGGTGACCCTTCTCCTCCACAGCTGCTCACTCTGTGCACCACGGCAGGCGTGTCCTGAAGTTAGTGGGGGACACCTCACCAGGGAAGTGATCCCTGTCCGCCCCGAGGGCCGCCGGAACCAACCCCTGCCCCACTGAGCTGTGGATGTGGCCCCACATCTGGGCTCGTCTGACCCTGCAGCTCTCCTCTGGGACCCCCCGTCCATTGGTTGTGCTTGGGGACAGAACAAGGAAGGCAGGCCACCAGCAGGCGGCTGTGTGGGGGAGRTTAGCCAGTCTCGGCTCCTGGTGGGAAGAGAGTCCAGTTCACCCTGCAGTGGGTGGATGGATTGGCCAGGACTTGACTCCCTCATGGGTTTACCGAGGTGGGAAGGGTGTGAGAATGTCTGTTTACTGTCCTTTATAGTCAGCCCAAGCCTGTCCCCTGCAGGAGTGTAATCCCCGTGACTACCCGGGAGGGGGACAGGACTAGTATTCTCTTTCCGGAGTCGAAATCCCAGCGCGGTGCCCTGTCAGAGTCAGGCAGGGCTTTGTGGGTAGCTGTCCCAACCCCTCTTGTAGGTGAGCAGAGTGGCCTCCTGGTGGCCAGGCCAAGACTGGCCAGGTTTTCTCAACACTGACAGCCAGGGAGCCCTGGTGGCTGGCCTGTAGGCTGTCCTCTCAGCCACGTGGGGGGGACAACAGTGTCCTGGCCCTGGGACTCTGGTTCTAGGCTTCTCCAGGGGCTGCGAGCCGGCCCCTCCCGGGCCTGGGAATGTCTCTCCAGCTAGTCAGAAGCTATTTTCTGACCCTGGTTGTAGGAAGAACATGTTTTGTTGAAAGAGGGAGGGAGGGAGGTTGCTGAAAGATAAATAAACTTCTCCCAAACTTCTCCTTCCATGTTCACATGGCCCCGGCCCCTGGGGACTGAAGCACTTTGAAAATAAATAAATAAAAGTGAGTGGTTGGGCCCGAGCCGGCGGGTCCTTCCCCTTTGACTCTTGTTCTTTCTGGTTACTTTAGGCTCAGTCCCCGCAAAATAAAACGAGACGGTAGACGCCCTCTTCCCTGGACTGCACGGCCACCTGATGTCCTCATTCCTCTGTACCTCTCTCGCCCTTGTCCTTGGAGCTGGGAGGGACCAGAGGCCACCAACCTGAAGCAGTGGACTGAGTGGGGGCCCTGGGAAGGCCTGGGGTTCAGGGGTCTTCCTGCTTCTGCCCAGCCAGCCTCCTGGTCCCCGAGTGACTGCAATTGGAAGGAGCTGGTTGTGGACTCCCATCTCCCCTCTTGATCCCACCCTCCTTCCAAGTCACGGCCTATGTGTCTCCRGGTGTGGTTCTGCAGACAGCCCTCTTCTGCCGGGGAACGGCAGCCTCCGCTGCCTCTGTCTTGACACTGGACCTTCCTGGCTGGCCATCTTGGTGTCCGGCGTCATCTTGTCCCACTCGGCACCGAGGGGAGTCTTCTCTGTGAGCCTCTGGAGCCAAATCATGGCAGAAGCTGTCCCCTGTCCTCCTCCCCAGGGCCTTTTGCTACCACCTGGACTGTGGAAGGCCATGAGCTGAGGCCAGTGCTTGGCCTGGACAGGTGGTGCTTCTGTTCATGGCCGGTGGATCCTGGATTTGAGCCCTCTGCGCCATGGCCCTGACTAAGCCTTCCCCAGCTTCCATGRAGTGGGTCCCACCACCAGGCCAGGGCCAGCCCTACCTGTCCTCTGATCCCWACTGTCCTTGCCATTCGGGACAGGGACTACCACACCGGTTCCAACCGGAAAGCTCTTCATCATTCAGTGCTACCTCATGGAGACCCCACGGAGAATTTGGAGAGCTGTCAGGCCACAGTGGCATTTGGGACTTGGCCTTGTTTACATGCCAGGATGCTCTGTGACCTTGTCTCCCTCCCCTGTCGGCCTTTGGCTTCTCAGTTGTTTGGAAGGTGGCTCCTGGGATAGGGGCAGGTGTCGATGCTCCTGAATGACCTGGGCCGCGCAGGTTCTGAGGTGCGGGGGGCCTGCTGTGACTACCTGGGCATTGGTGGCCAGGGCCTGGAAGTCCCCTTAGGAGAAACAGGCTGGGTCCAGGCTGCATTCTCAGGGACCCGTTGAAGGTCCTGGGTCAGGCAAGTTGGGATCCAGGCCTCTCCTGTGACAARCTGGTGGGACGTGGGGAGRCCCCTTAGRTAAGGGGTCTTGGACTGAAGATTGTGACGGGCAGGGGGCTGAGTCTCCACCTCAGCTTGGGTGGCCGGCATTGCTTTCAACACTGGAGGGACCTCGAGTGTCCTTGTTCTTGGACRTGCTACAGAGGGTTCTGACAGTCACCCAGGCAAGAGGGGCCATTCTCAGAACCTGCAGGTTGCTGGTCCCGAGGAAAGGGATGAGCCAGCTGAGACCTCCGYGCCATCTTGGTCTGCCCTTGGTACCCGACAGAGCTGGCCCATCCAAGGGGTCTGCCCTGAGTGTGCCCAGGAGCTCAGTCCTTAGCCCAGCATCACCTCTGTGCGAGGTGGAAGGCAAGGACTTTTCTGAGAGGCACCTTGTGGTCGGCCCCACAGATTCCCCAGTGCCACCCCCCTGTCCCCAGCAGCCTGTGCCTTTATCACTGGAGCATTTGTTCCAGAGCTGAACTGGGTGGACAGTTCCCACTGTGTACGGCTGTGTCCCCAGGTGTGATCCCCACTTCCCTTGCACTTGCAAGAATAATGTTTCCCTCCAAGGGACGGGGTCTCCTTGCACCTCAGACTGCCCTTGATCTGAGTTAGCGGTCCCCAAGGTCCCTTCAGTGAGGGAAGGCACTTGTTGACTACTGTTCTTGGTGACAATCTCAGGAGTCTCGGGCTGGGCCKGGTGACCAGGGTGCTGCAGCCTGCAGTGGACACAGGTGTGTCTGTAGCCGGACTCCTCAGCTTGAGGAAGCTCAGGAGGGATGGGCTCCTGAAAGATGCGGGCCAGTCCAGCTTCYGGACTGCTTCCTCTAGTCCTGGGCAGCGTCCAGAAGACGCATGTGTTTCAGGAGGCAGGAGGCGCCTTCTCCGAGTGGCCAAGGTGCCTCATCCAGTGGGAGAAAACCAAGATGAGACCTGGTGCAGGTTCATTGTCCTAGGCACCCCCTGGTGAGTCTCACGCTGCCACTGCCRGATCCTGTCGCTGGAAGCAGAGGACTTCATGACACTCAGGATTAAACGACTATCCTCCATTGGGAGGGGTTTCTGCCACTGAGTCCTGTGTGTTCCTGAGGGGTTCTGGGGCGTGTGCACGTGCGTGTTCCCCACCCCACAGACTCCTTGCCCTCTATCCACACCATCAAAGGCTGACTGACCCCAACCAACCTTTCTCTTGTTCGGGGACTCACTCTAAGGGGGAAATGAGGTCTCCAAAGATATTGAGTTCTCAACCAGGCAAGATCAGAGACCAGTGGCCCACATTGAGACTGGGGAGGGAAGGGTGGGAGGAGGTCACCTCTGATGGTAGCCCTACTGCTGCCTGTTGTTGCTGGCAAAGCAGCCAAGACAGCCCATGGGGTGACACACTCTGCACAGGAAGGTGGCCCCAGGTAAGGGTGACCTGCCATGGGCCATGCCCAGCTTTCTACTTACATTTGCAGCTCTTAGGACTTGTTCAGCCCCACGCAGCTCGCCAAAGGCACCAAGTAAAGGTCAGAGGTTAGGTGACTTGCCCATGGTCAAGCAGCCCAGAGGGGTCTGTCAGCCCTCCAACCATTCTCACGGAGGCTGGCATTTTCTCCAGCCCTCAGAGGACCAGCCAAGGTCAGGCACAGGTGCCTGGGCCAGACATTGCTTCCTGTCTGCTGTCTCCACACTGGGCTCCAGGAAGCTGCAGCCCCTGCTCGGCAGCAGCCCCATGAATAATTTAGCATCTGCACCAGCCCGGCAGTGCTCTGACCTCATCCTCCTTGGGCTCAGGGTGCGGCTCTGACCTCATCCTCCTTGAGAAAAGGTTGCTGCTAATGGGTAGTCGCTGGGTCCCTCCAGAGTGGGGGATGATTGACAGGGAAGGAGGAGGGGACCTGAGAGCCAACTGCCTTTGTAGCTGGAGGCAGCTTTGCAGYGAAGAGAACATGACTTTGGAATCCTATGGCCCTGGGTTCAGTCCCTGGCTCTTCCCAGTCCTGTGGGCCCCCTGGACCCTCCCTCACTCTCCTTATCTGGAAAACAGGAGTACAAAACCCTGGGCTCAAGTTAACTGTTCTAAACCCAGGTTGCCCCAGGGGCCACCGCATAGCATGCAGACACCAGCTGTCCATGTGTCCTCTCCATAGGAGCTGGTCTCTAGGTAAGATGTCACCATTTGCTACCTTCTGGGGTGCCACATCTCCCCTTTCTTCTCCTGTGCTTCTGCTCTGGGGCGGCAGAGTGAGTGGGATGGCGGGGGATGGTAAGGAGGACACATCCTGGGCAGGCCCCAGACTGGCAAGGGAGAGGAGCTAACCCACAGTTATGCTACCGCTGTTGACCRGTGACGAGTCCTTGCTTCCCCAATGTTGAAGTACAACACCAGAGAAGCACGCCGAGGCAAGTGTAGAGTGGAAAATAGAAGTTTATTAAAGGACAGCAGAAAAGACTTCTCCCSGAGGAAGAAGGGGACCCAAGAGATGGAATCCGTGGAAGTGCGGTTGTCTCTCCATTTTATAGTTTTCGGTGATGGAATGTAGGTGGGAAGGCCCGAGGGGTGGGACACAGGTGGGCCCAAGAAGTAATCTGGGCAGGAAGGACTTCTGAGGCAGCATCTTCAAGTTTGCTGTTCATTAACACAAATATTAAAAAAAAAAAAAAAAAAAAAAACCACTTCTTTGGGATGGGCTATCTTCAAATCTGCTGGGGGCTGTTTCAAGAGCTGCTCAACTTTAACATTTCAAGAGCTGCTCAACTTTCCCGGGAATTCATTCTCATGGCCTCCATTTTAGATTTCACTCCATATTAGACCCGATTTATCTAACTACACTGACCACCTAATTTTAAATCTGGCTTCGGTTAGAAAGGTGGCCTGGGCACCAAGGAAGTCCAAAAGGCCAGGCTGAGGAGCTGGGGTCAAACTGCCTCTAGTCCAACAAACATTTCTCCAGCCCTAYTCCAGGCATAGAGGTGAGCGCACCTGGTCCCCGCCCTCCTTTGCCAGGTCAGACCCGGGGGGCTGAAAAGGAAGTGGTCCTGGTGGCTGCATCACGGGCTCCGGGCAGCACCTTTCTGTCCAGCATCCTCAGGCCAGGGCCGGGCTCTGTCTAGCTCAGGCTACATCCAGGACTTGGGGTCCCCAGGAGCTGGGAAGGAAGCCCAAGCCTCAGCGCTGCGCTATGTGCGCTCCCAGCCGCCTYCACTCAAGGTCAGAAGCAGAGCCGGGCGGTCACAAGGCCACCACCTTGTMTGTGCCTTGGACAGAGGCTCTGGGTCCCGGGTCCAATGGGATCCGTCCCATGSCAGCGGGCGGTGGCCGTCAGACTCCCCCACTCCAAACCCCGGAGGAGGCGCCCTCCAGGACGGTCCGCTCGGAAGGCGCCCAGAGGCGGCCTCGCTCCTTCACCCTTCGACCACAGGAAGGCCCGGGGGCGGGGCTGGAAGGCTTTGTGCTGAGTCCTGTCCGGGGAGGACCCTGCCCTGACCCTCGGGAGAGGCCCTGGGCTCCCCACCCCGATAAGGCTCCCCCACCCCTGGCTCCTGGGCGGGGGAGGGAGCTGGCCCGGAGCATCTGGCGCTCCCACGTCACTCTGCCAGGCCTCCCCGCCCCCAGCCAGGCCCGGCTGCCACTCGTTGCCACTTGAAGCCCCGCCCGACGCCCTGCAACCSGATCCCGGGCCAGCTGTCCCTGCCGCTGCCCGCTGCGGGGCGRCCGCGCTCCCGCCCTGGGCACCCTCAGGCCTGGCCACGGAGCTTCCGGRGCTGCGATTGCCCCAAGCTTTTTACCCTGCCCCCTTCTGCCTCGCCAGCTCCGGACTGGGCCCGGCGCCCACCGCCTTCGTCCCTGTGCCTCTCAGCCCTGCACAAAAAGGGGTCAGGGAAGCAGAATCCCGCTCCAAGAAGAGGGTCCCCTGGGGCCCTTGGCGTCTCCACGCGGGGTGTAAGGGAGCCGCGCTGCGCAGGGCGCCCGTCGTTGCTGCCATTGGTCGGGCTCTAGGGCGGCGGTCCTCAGCCTGAACACCACCACATTCCGGAGGGTCCTTCTTTGTGGTGGGAGCTGTGCCTTGTAGGATACTAGGCAGTTCCACCCACTGGATGCCAGGAGCAGCATCACCASCCTGGTTGTGAGAACCCAAAATGTCTCTAGATGTGGCAAATGTCCCCTGGAATCCAGCCCCCTAGCGTTTTACAGTGGACATCTGAGCCAGAGGCACAGGGCACTGGATCTGAGCCTGGGGCCTCACCCCGCCCAGTATTCCATGGTGTGCTCGCCCTTGCCCTCTCTGCTGGTCCAAGTCAATTTGGTCAGCCTGGGGACAGTTATCCTTGACCACAACATTTGGACAGCATGTGACTCGCCAGCTCCTCTCTCTGCAGACACCTCAGCCTCTTGTCATCAGGGAGGCAAAAATAGGGCCACCCTGTGCCCACCCCACACACCCTCAATGTGGGAAGAGCCCCCTCAGTCCCTGCTGTCAGGTCCATTTGTTGGTGGTCAGCAGAGTCAAGTGGAGGGAGAGAGGGTGGGGCAGGGTGCACTGACCTCCACCTTCATGCAAAGAGGAGTTGCTGGAGAATCCAGTCCCATAGAAAGAAGGGGACACTTTTCCCAGTTGCCCCTCTCCTGTGTGTTCATTTACCTGTGTTTGCACAAAGRGACTCTGAAAGAGAAGACAGGTGTCACCATGCCAGGTAGACAGACACAGAAGACTTTACTGTCTTCACATATTTTGGGAGGGGGTGGGTACCCAGGAATGAAATCAAGAGCACTCGATCACTGAGCCACACCCCCAGCCCTATTTTGTATTTTATTTAGAGACAGGTCTCACTGAGTTGCTTAGTGCCTCACTGTTGCTGAGGCTGGCTTTGAACTCGAGATCCTCCTGCCTCAACCTCCCGAGCCTCTGGGATTACAGGCTTGTCCCACCATGCCTAGATAATAACATATTTCATTTTATTATTATTAGTATTATTTTGTGTGTGTGGTGTTGGGAATCAAAACCAGGCTATGTCAGGCAAACACTCTAACACTGAGCTCCACCCTCAGCCCTGAATCACGTATTTTTAAAACTTTGGAAACAGGCCAGGTGTGGTGGCACATGCCTGTAGTACCAGTACTTGGGAGACTGAGGCAAAAGAATTGAGGCCAGTCTCTGCAACTTAGCAAAAACCTGTCTCAAAACAAATTTATTAAAAAAGAACTGTGGATGTATCTCAGTGGTAGAGCACTTGTCTAGCATGCATGAGACCCTGTTTCAATCTCCAGTATCACAAAGGGAATGAAAATTTTTAAATCAGCCAGACACGGTGACGAATGCCTGTAATTCCAGTGGCTCAGGARGCTGAGACAGGAGAATCTCGWGTTCAAAGCCAGCCTCAGCAATGGCAAGGCACTAAGCAACTCAGTGAGGCCCTATCTTTAAATAAAAATACAAAATAGGTCTGAGTGCCCCTGAGTTCAATCCCCAGTACCAAAATAAATAAATAAATAAATCCAAAAATCATTTTTTTTTTTTTAATTGAAAGAAAGAGAAGGAGCCTGGAGCAGTGTCATGGCTCTGTGGTGTCCTGCACCCCTGGCTGCCTCCACGAAGGCCATCTTTGGCCACACCTGTCACCCCTCCTCCCTCTTCCTAGRAGGCTCCTGGGGCTCACCCTACCCAGTGTTTCCGATTCCTTCTCCCTTGGGAGGCTCTGTGAGGAGGCAGAGGACAATGGCCCGGGAAGGGAGGAAGCCCACTGCACAGATGTGCCCCCTCCCAGCACTTCTGAGAAGACTGGTGAAGCCGGCGTTCCTGGAACAGACTGGTGCACTGTCACCATTTGTCCCACAGAGAAGACAATGCAGACATGGGAACAGCACGCAGCTCCCAGCTCACCACCCTGGACTCTTCATCAGGGCTTACGGAGGCCGCTCCTCCAGCACCCTGATCCACCTCAGTCCCCTCTCTGACCTCTCCTGGCCCCCGGTCCATCTGGCTCCCAATACTCCTGAAATCTGGGAATTCCTTGTCCTCAGGTCACTTGGGCCAAGTGCTGTGTGTCTCTGGGAGGAACCCCTTAGGGGATGTGTGACTTCT